ACTCATTCATTAAATAAATAACTTCTAATAGTTGGGGTGTTACAACTGCACCTTGACTGCTACATAACAGAACACGATGTCATAACATCTTGTTTGACATCTGGTCAAAATCATGTTTTAGCAAAATATTATCAATCCACAAAACCATGGTACTATTAAATTTATTAGTTAATTAGGTGTGACTCATGTTAACAAAATTTGGCTTTAAATAATGATACCTAAAGGTGATGATTGTTTGGGTTTAATTGGTAATTAATCCAAAAGGGGTTTTATTTTGAAATTCAAAAATACAAATCCCTTTTCTATCTCTTCATATAAGGACATAAATGTTTGGATGTGATATGTCTGTTGAAATGAGTTTCCTATAAAATAAGCATCTTTTGGAATGCAAAGACAAAATTTTCTCATTCCTTCTCATTTTCTCACAAATACACTAAAGTGTCTTCATCGTCAAAGATATACATAAATAAGAAGGAAGATATGAGAGAAAAATTGGAAATAAGAATCGAGAACCTTGCAAGAATTAACTTCATGGATCCCAGTATGCTTTCACTGTTTTTATTTATAGAATTCAAAGCACTGTGAAAATCATGGTATCAAGATCCAAAACACAAAATTTACTAACACACTTCACTTACTCGAGACTTTTTCTTCTTCTCTCATGCTTGCTACGTGTTGGGATTTGAGAAATAATATTATGTTTAGCGGTGGCATTGCAGACGTAGAAAAAGTGGTTTTTAATACGATGTTTGCTTGGTTGTGGCACATTATTTGATTAAACTCTAGAGGGTGTTCTAACTCTTGTGATTGGAAAAAGATTCCTTAGTTGTATATCAACTTGTGTTAATCTTTTGTATTTGGATTAAGTACTCCTAGTACTCTCTTTTTATACAAAATTGTTTATCAGACAAAAAAATTAAGGACTAGTTTAGACTTTAGAGTCTGCCATGATGTAAAATTTAATAAATCAATACGCGGGGAGCCTTCTAGGAATAGGCACACTACAAATCTGCTAATCAAAACCAGAAAAATATGTCTGAATCAGGCTCTCATTCCATGCTTTCAGATCCTCATCAATGGATATCCGCAACGAAATCATCTTCACTAAGGTAAGGTATAACAATGTAACACTTCACTTACTCGAGACTTTTTCTTTCTCTCCCATTTTTTCTACATGTTGGGCTTGTAGAATTTTCTTCAATTAATGCTCTATTATTTCCACGTACCCTACGACAACAAGTCCATGGGAGACTCCCCTAAGTGCAAATTGAAGCAATCCCTCGAGCCTTATTTTGGGAAGCACATGCAATATTCGTACTAACACTCTTTTGAGAAATTAAGGAAATCATAGCTTAAGGACATAACTTCCCCCTCAACCTAATCGCTTGAAGAAAAAAAGAATCACATTTAAAATTTATCAGTCAAATTTCCTTTAACTAAAGAAATACACCTCTCTTTTTAAACTTGAAACAAATTTTAAGACTTAATGGACCATCAGATATTGATGGTCTATTTTACATCAACACACCCCTTTGATTAAAGCAATACACCTCTCTTTTTAAACTTGAAACAAATTTTAAGACTTAATGGACCATCAGATATTGATGGTCTATTTTACATCAACACACCCCTTTGACTTTAAATACCCCTATAAAAGTGAAAACTAAATAATAAAAATTTATTTGAAGAAAAACCCTAGATTAGGGTAGGGAAAATTTGGGGTATGACACTGGTCAATGAGCAATCCACCATGGATCATCCGTATGCAAGCTCAATAGTTGTTATCTAAGATAATCTACCAAAAAATGAGGTTGATGGAATTTGGGAACAAAAACACCCCAAAGACCATAACACAAAATGTAATGAAAATGAACTTATAAAATAAATCTCACCAAACCGTGCTTAGAAGGCTCACCGCTCTAAGCAGGCTGCATTTATTTAACACACTAAACTGCCTAAAATTGCGCTAAGTGCGCTATCCGCGCTAAGCGGGCTCAAAAACAAAGCTTCTGCCAAAATGTAAAAATGCAAGTAGCGCACTACAACATGTGATAAGTGTATCCACGCTAAGCGGCCTTTTGCGCGCTAAGCGAGCTCTCCTGGGCCAAACTTCTCAAAATTGGTCTTTTATTCTGAAAACGTGCATCCGGAGCCGCGCCTTCGACACCCTATTCCTTGATGCTCCAAAATGCAACAAATACTTACAAAATGAATGGAAAAACATGAAACGGTACACTATGTACACAAAAACACAAACTAAACATATTTACATCATGTGGGTAAGATGTGAATACATGATATTTGAGGTGCATATCTCATACATGTGTGATTGTGTAGTGTGTGAATCTATCCTGATTCTTTATGTAATGTTTATTATTTAAATATGCAAGCATAATAAAATAAGTCATAAAGAAAAAAGAAGAAAAAGATAAATACAAGACATGCCACCAAGCAGTAAAAGTCTTTCTTAATTGTATTTCCATTTGGTTCATGAAGCATGACTCATGATTCATATAGAGTTATATGCTCATCTTAATTGCGCCAGTGATTGTGATATGGGTGTTGATAGAAGTGACATGTTTGTGGGGGTCACTCTTTTCATCGAACTTCGTTAATTGATGTTCAGGGCTTGAAATTCTCCGGCATCAGAGCTCCCCAATTTTTTCTCATAGCCTAAGGGTCTATGGTTATAATTTATTCAGTGGGGCCGACCTCCTGACATCATTGTTGAAGGTTTATGAAATTGTATTCAAAGGCTTGATTGTGGAGACACATTTCTTTAATGGCAACACACATCACTCCTATGATATGGTCCTCGCCGCAATTAACTTTAGTAAAGTATCATTTTTCACCATGTCAAGAGAGATGACAGAAGGGCCATGTTAAGCGAGTGCGTGTTAGGTTAATTTTACAGAGGGCCCATGGTGTGTGCCAATTTTATTTTCAAAAAGAACAATAATTATAACTATGCTCGCGTGTGTGATTTCAATAGAATGTGTTACATCTAATTATTTGTGACTAATGAATAATCATTTCAACCCTAGGGGTTGAAGAACTTATAGCCATATGTATGGGATGAATGAAGATAGGGATGCAATATTCTCTCAAATTTATGAGGAACATGTTAGAATAGGGAGGAGTCATTTTCTCCTTATTTGGGGGAACGATTTCCTTCTTTATAATCACGGAAACTCATTTTCGCCTAAGCACTTGGTCTGTAAAGTTTGGGTGAGGTGTACTAAGTAATGATGTTGTGTTTGGGTCAATCGACCCCATGCTTTAGTCGAAAGACCCGAGATGGCGCCATTAGAGTTTCCTTTACGTCTTGGACTTCCTCTTCTAAATTTTTGGGCTTGCCATTTTCAAGTATTTGGGGTGGCCCATTCTAGGTCCAATTAAGTTATACTATATGCAATCTCTCAAACACGAAGCCTGAGAATGATGAAGTGATTAAGTTAAATGCTCTATTATTTCCACGTACCCTACGACAACAAGTTCATGGAAGACTCCCCTAAGCGCAAATTGAAGCAATCCCTCGAGCCTTATTTTGGGAAGCACATGCAATATTCGTACTAACACTCTTTTGAGAAATTAAGGAAATCATAGCTTAAGGACATAACTTCCCCCTCAACCTAATCGCTTGAAGAAAAAAAGAATCAAATTTAAAATTTATCAGTCAAATCTCAACTAAATTTTTACAATTTAACAAAAGAGAAAATTAAGAATTGAAATTACCTCGAAGTGATAAGATCTAGAATTCTACTTTTAAGGTGACAAGAATGAGAGATATATTACAAAAGCAATAGGTGTTGAGTTGTAATAAATTACTGATGTAAGAGATACATAGTTAGGTTATAATCTGAGTGAGATATTGATAGTGAATGGACAATATTAAGTGAGAAGAGTGAGAGTAACACGAGTGGAGAAATTCAATATAAAAATTTTGATGAAAAATTAGCAACATGAGTAACATATTATATTATAAAATAATATAATTTTATAAAAACGGTTACAACTAAGATTATTAATTATGTAATGCTTAATAATGAACCATAAATAAGAGGCCGTAGATTATAAATAGTTGTACTAGACAAAAGAAAAAGAAAAAAATTAAATAGTTATACTAGATACAATAATGTAACACTTCACTTACTCGAGACTTTTTCTTCCTCTCTCATGTTTGCTATGTGTTGGGTTTGGAGAAATAAATATCATGTTTGCTACGTAGGAAAAAGTAATTTTTAATACGAAGGTTGCTTGGTCGTGACACAATATTTTATTAAATTCTTAGAGGGTGTTCTAATTTTTATTATTGGAAAAAGATTCCTATTCAATGTGATTTTTCTAATTGATTTTTTTGGGTGTGTATTAATTGATTTTACTAATAGACACTGATTCCTAATTGTGTGATAATGAATAATAGTGAAATTGAGTTGTGTTGAATGTGATAATGAATAATAGTGAAATTGAGTTGTGTTGAATGTGATAATGAATAATAGTGAAATTGAGTTGTGTGTAGAAATGTTTAGTATTTATAAAACTTACTTTAATACTGATATTTGTTATTTCTCTGTCAACTAGCCCAGCCTAGTTTTGGATATATAAAATGAAAAGTTAAAATTAGATTTATTGAAATGTTATGAAATATATTTACTTGAACCTTAAAGGAAGTCAGTAAGTAAAATTCATTGTTTTTAAACTATATACAAGCCTAAATAATTATGAAATGATTAAAGAATTATCTAAAATATTGGAGAAGATTCTTAATGGTAATAATGCATATAATAAAAATGCATGGTACTGTTTGAGTGGAATGCAGAAGATTATATATTAGACTGGAATGCATAGTTTAGTGAAGATAGAAGAAACGTAAAAAAGATAAAGAAGCAGTAAAATAGATTTCCATTTATTTAAAAGGAAGAAGTACATGATTCATATATATAGAAGAGTCAGAATATGGAAATGTGATATAGTGTTTCTGCTGCTGCGTTTGTAGTACTTTAGAGAGGGGGTATGGCGCCTTCTTCAGGGTCCATAGGATCATCAGGCTTGGGATTGGGATATAGATATGGGAATTTTATTTTCTCAGGTAAATTTGGACAAGTTGAAGAAGCAGGACAGTTGATATATTTATAATCAGGGGTTTTATCAAAACAAAGTCTTACTTCAGCCAAGTTACCTTGGATACAGACTAGTTGCGGTTTAGTGTTCTCAATGTGTGGCTTTATAGCATTCTCGATTTCTTCTTTCGTAAAGCTCTTCAGAGTTATTTCAGGTGTTATATTATTCTTTTTAAGTATCTTTTTGATATCAGCTCTATCATAAAGTTCTAATGTGAGTTTGAAGTATTCCTGTGCATCCAACATGGAGCAAGAGCCGTGTTTATCCCACTCACCTTGCCAAAACTTTTGGTTTGTCTGGCGGGTTATAGATGGCCATTTTTTACCTAGCTCATTCACCAGTTTCGGATCTTTAAACTGATAAAATAAATTAAATAAATAAATAAGTATATCATATAAAAAAATAAAATCATAAATATTAAAGCGAAATAAACATTCATACGACTTACATCTCCTAATACAGATGGTTTACATGAAGGAGCGTTCTGCGGCCATAAACCGTGAATAATAAATATTGAGAGTTTGGATTGTCTAGCAACATCACACGACTTATCCACACAGTAACCTGGTGGCCACATTTCCGATAACATGTAATAATCAAAGGATACTACACATGATTGTAACAAGGAAACCAATATCAACAAAACCATTAACACCTTCATTTTAATACTGATATTTGTGATTTCTCTGTGGATTATAAAACTTATTTCTAAGTCTATCTATTTATAGGGAGAGCTTCGCAACATATGAATTACGTCACAATATTCTTTCAATTTTTATTTTTAAATATTTCATTAATCAACTCATAAAAAGTCTTACTTCTCTTTCTATAATGCTATGTTTGCTTGTAGCTGCCAATTAATAATATCAATTACCAAATATATTCTCTTTTTGTTTTTTACTACTTTTCAAATAAAAATGACACCATGTAGGGAAAGAAGGTATTAATCAGTCATTATCAATATTTATTATTCACTCTCTCATCATCTCTTTTTTCAGTATTTTACTATATACTGTTTCAATTTACTTTCTCTCTATACTTTTATATCTTCTTCATCTCACATGTTTCTCCCTTTTTCTTTTCTTGTCTTATTTCACTAACCACATGCTTTCTGTTCATATTCCATTTGTCATTTTCCATTTTCTATTGCTAATTTCCTTTTCTCTTCACTATTTCTTTTGCCTATGCTTCCCATTTCCATGTGAAATTATGTATAAGATTCTATTATTTCCCATACAGAAATTTATTTTAATGGTTGGATAATATCATTCTCTTTTATTTTTTTGGTAATTACATTTTTTTAATTATTATTATTTAGATACACAAAGTATTAACATAAAAGTATCACTCTTGCGGATTCAGACTTTTTTTTTAATGTAAATTTTTGAAAATTTTTCATTTAGTGTATGTTTTTTAATTTTCTGTGACATTTTAAAAACAAATAATTTTCTATAACTTTTTTAGGGGTAAATTAATTACTTATGAATATTTTACCAAATAATTTGGGTAGTATATTTTAAAACAGTCTCCAAGTCTAAACTGTAACTTTCTAAAAGTGAAAAAACTCAACTCATAATGTTGAAACAGATACATTATAATAAAATCACCCCTTAACCATATTCATCTCAATTATAATAATTGTTTGTCCAAACAAATAGCTTAAATCTACGATCTATCATTACAAGTCATAATTTTGAGACTATTACATTATAAATATATATTCATCTCAATTAGAATAATTGTTTGTCCAAGCAAATAGATTAAACCCAAAATTCGTCTTCATAGTCATGTACATGAAACCAATAGTGCAGTTTCTCACCACAATGGAAGCCACTTTAACGGGGTCAAACCCGTCCTTCATCAGCACTTCGTCGGGAAAAAGAGAGCCTAACATGGTACGCTAGGAATAGACACCCCGATTAAAGTGAGATGACGAATAATACTTTAGAAATGAACTTCTACAAAAGCGAGAAGACTCGGAAGGAGAGTATAAGAAAGGGAAATGGGCATTTGGCGAAAGGGGCCTCACTAGAAACAAGTGCCCCAGAAAATCACAAATTTTTTGGGTGAAGGACTCGAACCAAGGGTCATTTGTATAGAAACTAATGAGCCATTGGTTATGCTGGACACACAGTTCAAATACTCTCATGTAGGCAAAGGACCTCAGATGAAGCTAAGAAGGAACAACTTTTAAATGTTTCAGGATGACCACTTTGAAGTCCGATAAAGGTATCCAAAGTCCTATCTTTGTAATAAGTAACCTTGTTGTGATTGTACAAGTGCTAAGTGAGAATAAATATTTGTTGTGATTGTACATATAACCACTTGCATAGTGTTGTGCATTTATATACCCTCACATTCTTCACATTGATACTATGAAGGTGAGGAAATACACAAGAATAAGGAGGGGGTTGAAATTTGTAACAAATAACTTAAGATTTTTCAAATAGTAGCTTCTGAATATGACTAAGTTCATATTCTAAGCTTGTGTGTGAAAGTGTAGAAGCTATAAGTAAATCACACACAAAATGTATCATAGTTCATCTATAATATCTATAATAAGAGTAGTCCAGTCTCCTTGCCACACAAGATCTTTTCATTATAATCAGTAGATGATTATAATTTTCTTAGACAAACCAGTCCAAAGCAATTTTCCTAGACACACTCGAAAGAGATTTATTGACCAAAGAAACTGTCCAGGAATTCTTTTTTCAATCAAACTAGAAAGAGTCTTCCTTGCCTAAACCAATTGTTCAGGACTTCCTTGCACAAACACTTATCATGGGACTTTTCCAAGTTATAAACAAACAATTTATATTACAACAAGATGTATTGGATATACAATTAGAGGTACAGATAATACAACACACGCAAAGACCTTGATACTTGGAATTTCTAATATATAGAAGTTTAAAAATATTATTAAGTCTATGTGCAATACAAAAACTATAAACTGTAACGTGAAGAGTGAAAGAGTTCTTGCAAATTCTGATTTTCTGTTGTTGTTCTTGTTGTATTATTCTGAGTTTTTGAGTCCTTAGCTCCTTTATATGGAGGGAAAAAAGAGACTTTGGAAGTTTTCTTGCACAAGTGTCTTTGCTGAAGAAGTTATTTCCAAGAGAGAGGCGTTTGAGTTGGTACAATGAGGATCTTCATCTTATGAGTAATTGCATTATCCATTGTGTCTTTATCAAGTAAGGCATTCATAGGCATAGAGTAGTAGACTGAAGAAATCATATTAGTTTGCATTGAGTCTTGTTCTAAAACCTATAGTTGACTTCCTCCATAATTCAAGTCGTTGACTAGATGTAGTTGCTTTTGCACAAAGTACGTACAAAAGAGTTTTGTACTATGCTTCCAGCAATGCGTTTAGTTCTGTTGGAAACATTGAAGTTAAACTCAATATAGCAATTGATCCAGTAGAATCTGGCTTCACTTGCTTCTTATTTACAAGCTATTTAACTAGGTCAGGACTAAGTTAAATATAAGCTTAATGATATTGCACACTTAATCAAACAGTAGTACACCCTATTGCTCTTTAATTACTTTTGTTATCATTAAAACCCAAGAATTTATTCACATAAATAGTGTACCAACAATCTCCATCTTTTTTAATATGACAAACATAAGTATTTTAAGAACAACCGGTTGGTCAATTTTAATAATTTGACAACTTCATATAATGAGGTTTTTAAGCTTCCCTCGACTCGAACCAAGGATCATTCGTATAGAAACTAATGAGCCCTTGGTGTCTGCTGGAAGCGGTAAAGTGACAAGAAAAAAGTAAAGTATTACTTTTATTGGGTGATATTTAGGCTATACCGTATCATGTCCATAAAGATTGGTGTATTGAAGTGTCGTTTGACAAATCTCTCGTTAATGAGTTTGGGGTTTGAATGGGTTGAAAGTAAATGCGAGAATTAAAAGTTATCAACTGGAAAAGAATTCATTCTCAGGAGAAAAGACTTATCAAGCATGAATAATAACCCACCCTTCACAAACTTAAACCTATCGACATGTCATACTCAACCTACGAAACTCATTGATGTCATCACGTATCAAACGCAACACCCACTATATCATCTCAACAACGATCTCTCAACCAACCTTAACAACATAAAGGTCAGTCGTGCTACTCGCGTTAACGATATCTCAGTCAACACAACCAAAACAAAGGCATTAATCACAGACACCCTAGTTAATAACAACGCTAATTCTATCTCTAGAATTTAGACATTATTTGATAATCATACTAGATAAAAATTTGAGCAGTATATGTCTATAACAACCCAAATTCCTAAGCACAGAATAAAAATCAAGGACAACAATCAATAAAGATTTATAAAGCAAGCTGTATACAACGCCAAGGGCGACAAATATACACGAGTTCAAAGAAAATACATATACAAACTCAACCAATAGAGAATACAAAAAGAAAAATAGAAATGAATCGCAAATCTACCGGTTTATCAGTGCCGATCGAAGAGCAATCCACCCTGGATCATCGGTATGCAAGCTCCATAGTTGTTATTTAAATTAATCTACCCAAAAATGAGGTTGATGGAATTTGGGAACAAAAACAACCCAAAGACCATAACACAAAATGTAATGAAAATGAAGTTATAAAATAAATCTCACCAGACCGCACTTAGCGGGCTCACCGCTCTAAGCAGGCTGCATTTATTTAACACACTAAACCTCCTAAAATCGCGCTAAGCGCGCTAAAAAACAAACCTTCTGCCAAAATGTCAAAACGCAAGTAGCGCACTACAAAATGTGATAAGTGTATCCGCGCTTAGCGGCCTTTTACGAGCTAAGCGAGCTCTCCTGAGAAAAACTTCTCAAAATTGGTCTTTTATTCTGAAAACGTGCATCCGGAGCCACGCCTTCGACACCTTATTCATCGATGCTCCAAAATGCAACAAATTTCTACAAAATGAATGGAAAAACATCAAACGATACACTATGTACACAAAAACAAAAATAAACACAAACTAAACATATTTACATAAAAGTAGGCTTTATTCAACTGATATTAACAACAAAGAGTCGATAAGTGCAACAAAAACTATATACAAAAATAGCTACAATTTTCACTTATCAAACTCTCCCCAACTTGAACTTGTTTGTCCTCAAACAAGGCCAAACAACCTAAAGAACCAAAAGTAATCAACCAAAGAATCATGAATCAACAAGTTTTGAAAACGGAAAACAAATGTAATGGTTCAAATGAAAACCAGTACACACTAAGTAACTACTTACCACTAAACTTCGATGATAACATAAACACGAAGCGAATGCTAAATACAAAGAACATTTCAAAAATTATAAAACAACACTAGTTCTCATATGAATCACACCTAACAAAAACAATCATTTTTAGATGAAAAACACACAAAATAAGGTATTTTCACTTATCCACAATCTTGCAAACAAAAGACTAAATTATGCCGTCATCCAAAAATTCACATTGAACATTCAAAGACAAGAATCTCAAGGGCTTTTCAAAGTTCTAATGTTGCTTGGTTAACAAACAAGGGATAAATCCTAAAGCTAATCGAAACAAAAACTTGCCTAAACCTAAGGGAGTGGTCAACTCACAAAGCTTCAAGCAATAAAATCTCAATCAACCTTATTCTTCATTCCAAATTTCTCAAACCA